ACCGCGCGCGTGAGAAAGAGAGTTCGATTTTTCACTCCCGCCACGGGGAACGAGATTCTCTCTTATACGTGTCTGCTTTAAGAAAATATCTCTATTTTGAATAGTTCTCATTGGGTGCACACCTCGCACGAACACGAGGCTCGAGAGAGATCGATCGCATAGGTGAGAACGAAAGAGGAAGGCGAAATAGAATCTTCGATTTCTCCTCGACCGTACTCGACACCCTTACCGCTCAGCAGAGTCCCTCAGGTTAGAGCCTGGATATCTCGGTTCTCTCACTGATTAGTCTAATCTCTTTTTCGAGCAAACATGTTCTTCCCCTTCTTCTTAGGGAAAGTCTCATGCTATTATTTACTTCTTTTACCCATTTTGTAAATGATTGATTACATGAAAAATGAACAAAACGATCCGACCTCACTTTCCTGGACACGTTGAAAAAAAAAAATAGCCATTAGAAGGTTAACACAAGTACAAAATATTTTCATAATGCTTAGCCAGTGAAACGATCCGTACAACACCCAAAGATCTCTCTACTTGAGAAGCCGCTCCGAAATCGAACGGAAAGCCACGATAAAGAGCGTCGAGCGCGCTTCCGATCGCTTTTCAATTTACTTACTATCGTGGCCGCGCGGTTTACGATAGCGATAAATATGATTCAGTGCCGATCGTGTATTATCGAGCGCGGCCGCGCCGCGACCCAGAACACAGGAGGGAATCGCGCGCGCCGGCCGTAAAAAAAGAAACGCTCGAGAGCTATCCGCGCGGCTAATCAGAGTGTCGAGATTAGAAAATCGGCACGAGCGGAATAAGAAAACGCCCGTGCCTCTCTCTCTCTCTCTCTTTCTGAACGGGAGAAGATCAGTCCCGCGGTTGCGAGAGGCGGCGAACGCGAATTCAGATTGCATAGAGAAGAGAGCGCGCGCTCTCCAGCGATGCCCAGTGGGTCATGCATGGAAAACTGGAACGGTTTCATCTCCAGGCGGAAGACTCGATTTTTCACCGCCGGAGAAACTACCGATTTTTCTTTCTTTCACGATCGCGTTCGTTTCTAGGTTACAAGTAAATAAGAGCGCGCGCACCGCGTCGTCGCGAGGAATGGCCCCCCTATTTTCGCTCCGCGACATAATTTCCGTCGGCGCGAGTCAGAATGCCTCGTGTGTGCGAATTCTCGCGTACTCTCTTCTCCTCGTCTTCTCTCTCTCTCTCTCTCTGTCTATTTATCCGCACGTAAAAAAGCAGCCCGCCCTGAAGTCCGCGGTCACCGGTTTCGCGACGTCACCCGAATTTCACGACGCCAAGAGGCGAAACGGAACAGCAGCCGACGGTTTCTTTCCCTCTCCTTTTCTCTCTCTCTCTCTTTCTATCACCAATCGTAGGAAGACACGCGTTCTGCGAATAATTAAGCACGATCGCGACAATCATCGTCGTGCCGCGCGAAAATGCGGCGCTTGACGCTCGAGAGAGCAACTCATGAATGCTAAAGCCTAACTAGAGCTGTCTTACTCCGAGTCTTTTGAATTCTTTTACTCCCAGTCAAAAAGATGATCCCTGAATCTCTGAACCAGTGCGGCAAACATGATGAAAATTAAATGAACTACGATATGAAATGCAAAGGCTCTTACAAGTACATTATGAACTCAGAGCAGAGCGCACAGTGAGAAAAAGATTTCTTCGAATTTAATCAATTTTATTGCATCCAAACAAATTTCATCATTAGCATGCTCCAAAGAAACTAATGTTTCAATTAATAAGTACGATCGCCAGACTCTTCAACAAATATGTATCTTTATCTTAAGTAAAAAAAATTTGAAACGAAAGATAATTTCCTTATGAAGAAATTATTTGTTTCATTTTACATATACTTATTGTAACCAAATAATATTTTATTCGGTTAAAAGACGTTATCTCAAATAATAGCGTTCTTCCTGTCAAGTAATCGAGTTTTCTCGAATGAGACAGTAAAATTTTTACTCAGGCAAGTAATATTTCGTACATGTTGTTTCTATGAAACAGATTTCAGTCAAATAAATAGAAACGCTAAATCCAAAGAAACCTTTTCCCTGGGAGTTAATAGGGAAAAAAAAAACGCTATGAATAAATACACTTTTAAGGTAAAGAAGGCACAGCCCCTAACGCGTGATATCGCGAACAATCCGCGTTACTGTTGCGTCGCACCCGCTCCCGTGGTCTGGACGTCGCGGTACGTAAACACGTGTGGATTCGCGACGCGGCCGATGCGATCGGATTTGGCTCGCCGATAAAAATCGCGCATTATTTGTACTAAAGATCGCGCGCGGGCGATCCGCGAGGCGGGATATATCCGCGATAAGCGCGCGCCGTCGCCGTTTATCAGCAATCGAGAGATCGTATCGCGCGATCCCTGCGAGAAGGAGGAAACGACGAGAGCTACCTACTAACGACGAGCGCGACGGCCAGCACACTTTTCGCGTAAAAATCGGCGAAGCTCATAACAGCGACGCGAATCGATTAGTTCCGGCATAAATCTCCCGGGATCACGCGCGCACACCACAAACCGGCGGTTTTTAACCATCGCGCCCGCTCGCGCAACACCTATCCGAGCGCGCGCGAATGAATTCGCCGAAAGAAACGCCGACCGATGATTATTCCGGGAATCAATAACCGCGCGCCGAGAGTGCAGTGTAGGGTTATCCTATGTAACCGGGTGATAAACCTGCTTTTCCAAGCGGCGCTTTTAATTGTGCCGGGGACGACGTTGTTTTTCTCTCGCCTCGTCGTTTCGAGGGGACACGGAGTATCGCGAATGAGACGCGCACGCGACTCGTATTTTTTTACGCAGTGTACCATCGATGATAGTAAGCGACGGTAATAAGCGAGATCTCATTCAGCTGGGCCCATTGCTTCTCGGGGTTTTTTTTCGAAAACCTCTTCTTTCGCCGATTGAATTACGACAGCTCACTGTACACCGTTCTCGGTGACTATTCATGCTCATTCAGTGACTATGCTTTAATTACAGCGATTGTATGTGTCACAAGTACGTGATGTGAAGATCGTGTAATAGAGCAATATTCGAGTTTTGGACGAACCAACGCGCAAAAACAATAGTTTCAATGTATTACATTTACATTTTTTAAATATTCGCCCCACCGTTGTACAAAGCCATCAATTTTAAGTAAGAAGACAGATAGACGATGCAATATTTTGGATACGGGTGTTGAAAAATAAATCCCGGCTATGAATAATATCTCCGAATCACGAATATCACGTACGTATTTTCGAAGTTCGGAATCAAGAGAGCAGCTAAAATAAAATGGGTGCCTCTTGCAATTAAAATGAACACGGCATATCAAGGTATTGAGCTTCAAGTTAATTTTAGTGTGTCACTTAGCGGAACAACACTCCGTAATGCGGTTTCATTTCGCTAAAATTTCATCGGTTCTACGTATGGTTACGACTCGTCGCTCGGTTTCGCACATTCAATACCGAGAGGAGGTTTTTTCTCTTTTGTCACCGAAACGCACAAGAAGCAATCAGGTCCGAGACAAGGCGGATCAAACGGATAAACAACTCGTTCGAACTTACCAGGAGAAAAAGAGAAACGGATATAAATTGCAAATTACACGGCGAGAACGCGGCGGGATAAAAAATTTCGCCTACGCGAAACATTAATTAATGCAACACGCGCGCCTCGGACGCGCTCGTATTTATTCTGCCGGGTGTCGTTAAGCGGCACGCTATTTATAGCGCTAAATTGGCAGCGCGTGAATTCAAACGTTCGCGTTTTGTCCCCCGAATTCACGCGATTTGCACGCGCGTTCCCCCGGAAATCCGGCACAGGTAGGTATTAAAGGCGCGTGTACACACGTGTACCGCAAGTGCGGAGCTCTCGAGAGAAAAGTTCTCGCGACAAACCGACTCGGACATTCTTACCGTGCGTAATTACACGTTATCGGGCCACTTAATTGCGATTTAATTGGCACATCGGCCCACGGCTTAGCCGCCGAGGCAACGTGAATTTTCAAGCCCTGCTGGGTAACTCCTTTCGATTCTGCCTGAAAACGGATATTTTACGCTCTACTAATCGGTTGCGCGATAATACCGTACAATTAATGTGTCCCGATGTTAATAGACAAATTTATCGAATAAACCAGCTGGGGATTTCATATGAACGAGTAAAAATCCGAGAGTGAGGAAACACCGCACGTTCGGCGCTGCCGAAAGAGGTGGTGCGGCTGATTTACTGCGATTTACCAAAGACGTCTTGCCGTTTGCGCGAAGGAGGAGGTAGGGGGGAGACAATACTTATCGCCCGGCCTATATTTAAATTCACGTCGAGCTGTGTCACGTAAATTCGGAGCTTACTGTATCTTTCTTACACGTGCAACACGCACACCGGGCGTCCCAGATTCCCCACGCGTCTATTCGGGCACAGATCTCGTTCGATAAGCTCGACACCGACCTCTCCTTCGCAGCAAGTTCGACGTTAGGAAATTCGTCACACACTTCGCCGCGTATTCTGGACATGGCTACTTCGATGGTGCTCGAATATTATTATCGATGCTCGTAATCCCGTAAAAAACAAAAAACGTTGCCATTCGTTCCTCACAGTATCTCGCGTCGGATGCTAATGTTTCTAAAAATACGAACGATAAAATCTACCCCGGGGATACTGTAAATTTCTTAGAGTGGGATTTCACTCAAAAAGAATGTCGGCTGAGTCATTCGAATTCGAGTGATCGTTTACTTATAAAGAGTGAATATTTTCACTCGAAATTGAAAAGCGAATCTAATATATTCCGCCGTCACTCGTGCGGGATCAGAGTCCATTCCGAGCCTGAGTGAAACAATTTTCCGAGTGACACTCTCTTCGGTCACTATCTCTTCGAATGCAATTTCACTCTTTTTAAGTGAGATTTCATTTGAAGAAATATAGAAAGTATCTCGTCCCAACGCTGACGTTCCGAAAAATATGCACGACGCGACTCCTTTGAGGACACTTCAATCGAAATTGTTCGCCTTACCTGGGAGCATTGATGATCGACCGGCCCATTGCCCGTTGCTGGCGCTTCTCGACGGCAAGGCGCAGATAATCCTGGTCGCCAAGGAGGAACAGATCCTTTGAAATAATCATGTCCACCGCGTGGCTGCCGATTACAGCTGGCCGCCTCTCTCGTTCGGGTCTCCTTACTGGGCGATCCGCCGCCTAGGCAACGCAACGTAGACGACGCCGCCGCGCACGAGTTTAATTGGAGAGCCTTCACTTGCCCGGCACCGAATCACGCTCATCGACCTTCAGAAACGGCCGGCACGACGCGAACGCGCACTCCGACACGACGACGATGACGACGTTAGCATCCTCGAGAACGCGGCTCGCGATCGATGACGAGGGTCGCGATTTGACGGAAACTCGCGCCGATGGGAATCTCTCACGATCGCAAAACTCACGTCTGGTCTCTCGTCTCTTGTCGGAAGAGAGAGAGAACGAACGTCGATACCGAGAGCGGAATCCGATCGCGGCAGAGGTGGATGATCATCCACAGAGAGCGGCCCTCGCACTGCCGATGGGATCTCGAAGCCGTCTATCGCGCGACTCGATCTTAATGTCCACCACGAGGAGGAGAGACGAAGCAGCAGGACGATGAGGTGTGACTCCTCGCGGCGTTTCTTCCCCGGCGGAGAGCGCGATGAGACGATCGATCTAAGCGCAAGGATCGATCGAGTCTGATCGAGGAGAGCGGATCGCGCGAGATTCCCGGACACTGGCGGCTGGCGCGAACGCGGGGGGCGATCTCTCGGCTCGCCGGAGATAGTCGTGATAGTCCTCGAGAGGGGTCTTTTCTCGGTCGGATGTCGACGCACGCCGGAGAGAGCCCTCGAGATCTCGGCTCCGACAAAGCCGATCGGTCTTCGGTGATCGGAACTTCAGAGCCCGTCGTCCTCTTATCGCGCGGCGTGCTGCAGCTGGATTCCGCGGGTACGTGGAAGAAGGTGTCGGCGTTGTTAGTGCGGTTGATGGTGACGGTGATGATGATGATGAGGAGAGTGGCGATGCGACGGTCGCTCGACGTTGCGCTGCTCCTCGAGCGAGTATCCGACGAGCGAGATGATGACGCGCGCGAGAAAATACGGCTAGCAGGATTTTCCGTGGGTATCGAGAAGCGATTCCGTCTCTCGCGAACCGGCACGTCTCTCTGTCCGATGCGGTGGTGGTGGATGGACGTTGGTCTCTTCTGCAACATGAAATTAAGCAGGCGCGCTGTGAATTTTCCCCGCATTAGAGCTCACGCTCCCGTCGTAGTGATTCCTAAAGGCCTTGCCGGAATGACTAACTTGTAATCTCAAGGCAATGTTTCATGCCCTAAATCTTTGCAAAAATCACTATTTCTACTTTTTTTTTTTAATTGTTATAAGCGGTTTATCGTGAATCATAAGCAGAACGACTTTTTATCTTAAGACCTCAGACATAACACAGCCATTTGCGTTGCGCAGAAAAAAAAATGTGCTTCGGTTAAATTTTTCTTAAAATTTTCGTGTTAAATGTTCAACATACACGTGATTACATCAATAGAAAAATTTGTGTGGACAATGTAAAATGTTAAATCTGACATAACATTTTTTTATTGTGTATTCGAGAAAAAAGACTTAAGGCATAAAATATTGTGTTGAACCGATAAGTCAGTCATTCTATTAAAATTATAACATTAAAGTGGAATTAGCATTATGCGCTTTTGCAATCACGACGATTTATACGCCGTTCTTATCGACGCCGATGAGAACTGTTTAACTTGAACAGTGAAAAAGTTTCCAATAAGATTAGTGTATAACGCGTTCATGTTTTCCTTCTCTTAAATGCCGTTGTCTGTATTTTTTCGAAATATCTCAAAAAAGAAGGAAAATAAAGTGACAAAGCACTCCTTTGATGAGTTTTAAAAGTGCCAGTTTAGAAGCAATCGAGGTACAAACGATATTCGAGAGAAAAAACAAACGAATCTTGAAAAATCCTCGAGGGAGTTTGTAAATCCTCCTATGTAATCCTCCTATCGTTTGTAAATCATTTATACCTTAAAGGGATCGGAACTACAATGTTTTTTAAAGTCGTCAAAGGGATACGTTTGTGATTTTTTGGGATATCTCATGATGGCCGACGGTGTTCGAAAAAGGAGGTACAATGGAGTAAAAATAAATTGCGTCCGAAATTTTCTCTTGTTCAAGTAGGGGATCCAGGTTTACATCGCTATTATCGAATTTTCTCGTTCAAAACGTCGACGTTCGTCCGCGAGAACGTTTATTTATCGTCCTTGATCATGAGGACGTGTAAACAAAAAAAAGAACACAAGTTTGATAACAACGAAAACGAGACGTTTCCGTCGATACTCGACGGACTGTATAGAAAAATCGGCGGCGTGATTGCTGCGCAATTTCGCCGTGAAAAATAATGAAACTTCACACCATCGCAGGCGGCTTTTGTTACAGTCGCGAACAGAAATAGCGTTGAAAATATTCGCCACATTGGAGATAAAAATGCACGTTGTGCACCTTCAAAGGTACATTTATTCATTTGCATAATAACCAACACCTTTCGTCAGTGACGAAATAGAAAATCATTATTCGATGCATTTTAAATGTGCGTGTTCCATTCCGTTTGGAAACGCGATCTGGTGCTCCCGGGGAATGCACAGCCAGGTCAAAATCGATCCGGAAAACGAAGAGAAAAATACACACGGCATTCAAATAAATATTACTTGTTTCAAGGGTTTCACAAAAATTTATATATCCCGAATACATCATAAGTACATCGTAGGCATCAAATTTATGCCAAATATATTCTGAATCCTAGTGTGAGTTTGGTACTTCGATAAAGAATATTAAATGAAAAAGCTAAAACTAAAACTTCGGTTCACTTACTTATTTAAATTAACCGAATTTAACTTTTCTCCGATAAAGTTTATAATATTCTCGGAAGGGGAATAAATTCTTCCTTTGAGTGCATGATAATGAGCTTTTCTAAAGTTTCTGATGAGTATAATTGAAGACTACCATGAAGAAAATATTTCTCGTTGAAGATAACTAATTACTTAAAAGGAGGAGAGTAATCGCTATTCTCAGTAGTGGAATGACATTTTTCTCTATACGAACATTGATCTCGTATACGGACGGACATCTCCGTCCGGCTGATTCTCCCGGTGCCGAGGATGTCGTGAGAGAAAAATGAAAAACTAACACACGTTTCGTTTCGCGCATCTCCATTCAAAATGATTGTATGATAGAAGAGAAAAACGCTGTCACACGTATTTTATACGCGGTCTCGCGCTGTATCTCGCGCGCGCGTCGGATGTATAACATATTCATTTATGTCTTTGCGCGATGCTCGCGCTAATTGAAGGTCTACCGGAGATCATCTTGAAAATAGAACACGCGCTGTCACTGAACTTTACGCCGTTTCGCGCATGTACTACGACGCCCGCCCCCGTACACCGCTCGTCCTCGTATTTACATCGCGCCAATTTCGCACGCCAACTGTGAAGTATTAGTCACGGGTGAGCGAGTTCCGCGACTCCCGGCTACGTTCACGACCAACATTTTAACAAGTGTTTCTAATCTGTTACTTAATCTGTTAATTCCTTGTTCGGTAATTAAGAAACGTCGCAGTTGCCAATTTTCGATCCAATGAAAACGCATTTCGCTCTCCTTCTACATGCCAGAACATTTTTCTCGAATAATCTGGCATATTAATAGCATCATTTACCAGATTTGTATCGCGCGACTAGGATATACCCATGTCGGAGTCAAAATTTACATATGACAGCAATAAACAAATTGTCCGATCAGATATATCTTTTAAACTGATTTTATATAAACTTACGTGAGAAGAAATCAGAAAGGTAAAGAAAAACGTCGCGTACTGATTTATATATTTTCGACATTGCGGCATAGATTGCGTGTTATTTCTTAATGCCAGTACAGAAAAAAAATTTATCTTGGGTAGTAACTATTGTGTAACGTACAGCGCTACTGCGTATGAGAGTTTATGCAAATAGCAGAAAGACGAGATATTCGTTATATCTGTTGCGTAGACCATTGTTTTCGGGCAACGATGTGCAGTTATAATCGTATCGTTCGCGTTCCTAAATTTCCTTTACTGCTTTAAAACTGTTTCAACGTTAAGTAAATATACCATACACAGTAAAAAATGTTGTGTTATGAATCACATAACGCATAGTCCATCCAAATATTTATGTTATTTTAAAGAAGTGAATATGTTTAAAAAAAATATATTAACTATACATAATATGTTAAATGATATATTAAAAGTATGTTAATTTAACGTGTATTTGTTTTTAACATATTCCCCATGTTAAACGTAAAAATTTCGGTGGACCGTTAATAACACAAAATTTTGTACTGCGTAACCGGGCAAGACTAGTATGTTATTTTTTCGGATTTTTCGATTTTGTTTTGAATGTTTACATCGTCGAGAAAAATTCTCAGCATGTATCTCTCTTTCTCTCTCGTTGTCCCTTCCTTCCTCCCTACCTCTAAAGGTCTGCGATTTAATTGCTCTTCAACCCGTTACGCAATCCGGCCTAATCATCTGTCACGTAACGCATACGCGTAGGTGGACTTCGGAGAGAAGAGAAAATTATTTCCTCAAGGTGAGTCACGCGTATCTAGGTGTAACTGCGTGGTATTTACGATAGCGCGAAATTATGACGTTTGTACAACGGTAAATTATGCAACGAACCCAGGCGTGCCGTAATTTTCAGCGTGATACGTGCAACTATTGTGCAGCATTGTTCTCGGGTCCAAAGCGAGGAAGATGAGCGCGGACGTTATCGAACAATTATCTTTCTTTCTCTCTTTCTCTCTCTTTTCTACTGAACATCTGGCCAAATATTGCACCGGCGGCGCAGCCGCGATTACATCGTCGCGTAATCGCGACGTAACCGATAGAACTTGCGATTTTAGTCGGGACACTATCGACCCGGGTTCGTTGCACCCCGTTCTTTAGAAGTCGCATCCTATACTGAGAGAAATTATCATTATTTTCAATTTCAACCATACTATGGTTACGATACCATTTTGACTTTAACTACGAAAATGGTAGAAGCAATATACGTGTCAAGTTATTATTACTAACATTATAGTAAAAATTTACCAGAAAATGATTCTTCTGACTATAATCCTTTCATTATGATGATTAAAGTGTTACAAATATCAAATAATTTTCTTCCAGATCCGATTCTATATTTTCCGGTCAACTTATGGTTCAG